ACCAAGATTTATAAAGAAAGAAGTTGTAAAGAAGTAAGGTTGAGGGCTAGAGAAAAAAAAATAAAACGGCCAAGAAAGAAGAGAAATTTAGGAAGATGTTTTGTAATGTGCTAGCTGGGACAATAGATTTCTGCTCTTTTATTTAATTCTGAAAGACTTTTGTTCTGTTACTCAAAGATAAAATCTAAAAATAAATCTGGTGTTATTGCTGGCAATGTCACAGGACATGTAATTTTGTGTATATATGTTACTGTGGAGTGAGCTAAGAAACACAATATATTGAGTCTTAAAATTGCCATTAATGCATTACCTGCTCAGGCAATAATTTTTCTGTGATCTCATTTTCTTGTAAGTGATCTCATCCTTCCTTTTTGCTTCAATTGTGTTACTCTATAACAAAAATCTTCATGGTAACAGTATTTACTTGTTACAAATTACTGATTGAATGTCTCGACTTTGCTGTAGTATTTACCAAATCCTTTGCTTTGCATACAGCAATAGCTTTAACATTTATCTATTCTCATGTATTAGGATAAAGACCTACATAATCAAATAAGTAATGTCCAGATTAAAAATAAGTATTAAGGAGTCATAAAGACATAGGACAACAATAGGAAATAACTCATTTTTAAACAATCAGTCTTTTCAAGGGAGCTGGCTTGCAAAAACTTTTGAAATATCACCATAAAGGGTGAGTGTCACGAGGATGGAGCCAGGCTCTTCTCAGTGACAAACAATGATAAGACAAGAGGTAATGGGCACAAGCTGGAACACAGGAGGTTCCACTTAAATTTGAGAAGAAACTTCTTCTCAGTGAGGGTAACAGAGCACTGGAACAGGCTGCCCAGAGAGGTTGTGGAGTCTCCTTCTCTGGAGACATTCAAAACCCGCCTGGACGCCTTCCTGTGCAACCTCATCTAGGTGTTCCTGCTCCAGCAGGGGGATTGGACTAGATGATCTTTTGAGGTCCCTTCCAATCCCTAACGTTCTGTGATTCTGTGATTCTGTGATATAAAACTTGTGTCCTTTGAATGTGTTCAGTTTGAATATCCCAAAATGGAAATGTTTGAGGAAATTAAACAGTGCCAGGGGACATTCTGGGCACTGAGACTCCTCCGTTATTGTTGCTGTTAAATTGGTGGAACTGTCTCTGGCCCTTAGTGATTAGCACTCGCCAGAAATCGCTGTGCGTGGTTCAGAGGCTACAGGGGGACAGGGATTATTCCCAGCAGGCAGCTTGCATACAGCCACTGTTTTAGTGGGAAGGTGAGTTTAATACTGTGGCTGCAGGCCAGCTGGCCCCCGAGCTTAGCTTGTATCTTAGGCTGCTCTCTGGCACTGAGACCAGCAGTATAAAACAACTGCTTCTGTACTACTGAATACCCGGAGCTTACAGAGCGGCTGCATCCACATTGCGTATTAGGATGGGTCCCTGACTTATGCTACTCTTCATGTCATGCTTGAGGATTGTGTGAGAAAATGTTCATTGTCCTAGGACAAACAATACCAGGGACTAATATAATGATTTCACAGCCTAAAAGAGTGAATTCCAATGTCCAGGAAAACTCCCTGGCACTGCTTCAGTTACATTAAGGCAATGTAACATTAGTTAGAAATAAGCTTAGAGGGTACAAACGCACTCTCGGAGACCCTGGATGGGTGAGCAAAGTCAAGGCAGTGTGAGCTTCATCAAAGCCAAAGTAGGGATTCAGGACTGAGCATAATCAGCTTTGAGAAAGGAGCAGAAGGAAACCTGCAGGGATCAGAGGAAATAGTTTAATAGAACATTTAGCTTTAGAGGAAATGAAGATGCTCAGTGTGAAGTATTTTTTTAAGTTTTGATTTATGTATCTCTCACTAATTGGATCCCAGCTGGATTCTTCCCAGGGAGTACTGAAATTTCCTTGCATTGTTAATTTTTTGAAGGTGACATCACTGTCACTTACAGACAAACTGGATATTGAATGAAGGAGGAGAACATAGTTACTATGACTTGACCTTCCTTTCCCTTACCTTATCTGTTCTTGTCCTGCATGCCCTGTCTGTGCCATGCCTTTTGATAACACAACTAATGCTGAGGGTTTTTTTAACTTTTGTGTTGGCAATACAAAACCTCTGCTGACTTAGAAGCAGGTTTATGGATGAGTAGCTCTTTTCAATGAATGTGTCACTTTTCGTAAGAAGAATGAAAGGGTATGAGGTATGTTTGCCAAAGTTGTGAGAAAGTTCCCTGTTTAAAATGAGAGCTGATAAGAGTTATAGTAAGGTTATAGTTTACAGGGCAAGTGCAAAAGCATGCAACTGCTAAAAAGGTATCACTGAGAGTTTATCTGAGGGGACGAGTGTTCAGATCTGTTAGCCATTACTGATTACCACTCCTCAAAATACCTCCGAGCTGGAGTTTTGCTTAATAAAAGTGCTAAGTTTTATTTTTCATGGAGACCATCTCAGCTAAATCAACTTTAATAATTACAAGACTATTAAAAATTCCCACCAAGTCAGGAGATAAAGATTTTAAATACATCTTAATTTGGAAGTGTTTGGTATTTCTGTAGATATAATTTTGCTAATGAAAGTAGTTTTGAAACATACTGTATTGCATTCAGACCGATAAGTTTTTCTTAAGTAATTTAGCACAATGGGGTGTTTTTCTGGTAGTATTATCTGCTAATGCAGTCCAGGTTTTTTCCCACCAAGATTAATGCCTGTGTTCAAAATACATAGTTCTCTTCAGACTGGGGTCCAAATCTATATTCAAAGGATTCAGCACCATGGCTCTAGTTTTGACTTGTTTTAAGGGAAATAAAATAGCAGTCATTTCACCCTCCTCTGTCCTTCCCCTGGTATACACACACTTATTCTTAGCCTTCTTTTCCTGTAATTATCTTTCTTTTACCTTACTCTGTTCCCGCAAATCATATCTTAGTGCTATCTTTGTATTACAACTTTGCTGGAATGTTTCATGTTATATTAGTAAAATAATTAATAATTAGATATGCTTCTAGGATAGTAACACGGAAAATAGTTAATATGTCAGGATATCTGTATGCCATTAGAACTGGAATCTTGTTTCTGCCTAATTTGGCTTGCATTCAGCATCCGCTGATTCTGGAAGAATAAGCAACCCAAGCATATTCCTACGTTTATGAATAAAGCCATACTGTAGACTGCTCATGAATAAATCCATGCTGTCATTTTTATTGTCATCAGAGAGCATTTTTATTCTATGCCCACAAATGTTCTTGGTAATCTGTGAAAGAGGCCTCTGAGTTACCAAGTGAAAACAGGCATCTTTCTCACCCCTTCCCTTGGCAGAAGTACATGGCCAGCATTCATCAGCAGTCACAAGTGAACCCGTGTAAAGGCTTGCCTACAGACAGATGTTTTTCCAATTGAGTCTTTGATTGGCCCACTTGTACTCGTGCAGTATGACATGACCTTCAATTATACAGTCACATACTCCTTTTCCACCGAGCATTTGCCTCATTCAGTGCACAAGATGGATGAGAGTGCACTGGGAACTGAATTGAGTTGGGAAGTAGGGGAGGAAAATAAGGACACCACTGCCATTTGATGAGCGTTCTTGCCACCTGTAATCTTTCAAGTCAGGCAGACAAATGGGGAACTAGCTACCTCACAGTTTTATTCATAGCCACAGGAATTTAAGAACATAAGCAGACAAACTAATTGAAGCCATGGGTCTGTTTAACCCAGTGTCCTGCCTCTGACAGCAGTCAAAAGTAGATAATGTAAAAAAGTTTAAGTGGTTAATATAAAAAAGTTTAAGCTGTCACCAGCATCCCATTAAGCCCTTTAAAATCCTTTTAATCTTTTGCCGTATGCTGCCTTCTGTGGCGAGGCTGGTGGCTCACCTCCCCTGCTTGCCTTAAGCCTGCCATGTGCTGGCTTTCTGCGAATGGTCAGTCCATTCATCACACAACTCATGCATATGTCTCATATTCATTCAAAAAAGATGGATCCTGAGGAGAAGCCAGAGGATGTACCCAGAGTCCCAGAAAGCATGCCCGGAAGGCAGCCAGCCTTCACTTCTGCTGTTATCCATGACAGCTTGGCCTGCTTGCCTGTGCAATTGTCAAATATAGTCATACCCAGTGGTATTTCTGCTTCAGTGACTCTTGGAAAAAAAGACTGTTGACGGCTGAGACAGAAGATTTCAGGAAGTGTATGAGTGGTCTTTTGGCCAAGTTGAGTGCCACTGTAGACAAGAGGATTTTCTCTCTGATGCAGCCACAGAATTTCTGTGTGATGCTGAGCTGGTCCAATAGACAAGACTTTTCCCAGATGGCCATTAATTATGCGTTTGAAATCATGGGGTTTGATTTGCAGAAGTGCTGAGCAGTCACAGCTGCAGTTGATGTGATTGAGAGCTGTATTTTGTACATGCAAAGTGCTGCTTAATGTCAAGTTCCCTGAAAGACCTATCATTTCACGTCTCATATCTGTCACTGGATTTAACAAATGCTTTTGCCCTGAATTTCTTTGTGTTGTTTCCCTGTTTGGGAAGGAGGACTGATAACCACCCTGTCTCATTGGAGTGTTAGATTTCTAAATGCTCGGGCTCTGCCACGAAAAGCATCATAGTGGACTCCACTCAAGTAGTAACTATGTAATTCAGAGAGGGTTTCCATCCTCTGTGGCGTATGAGGTCAAAATCTCAACAACAATGACAAAACAGTATGACACAAGTATCTACCCATTCCACTGTCATTAGGCATTCTGGGCACTGACCTCACAAAATAATAATAATAAATATATATATATGTATATACACTGATCATGTAACAGGAAGCTTTTGTTATTTACCAGAGGAAAAATTTATATTGCCCAAGTAGCCTTAGTTCTGGCATCTCCTATTTTTCCTGTATTTTCCCAGCACTTGACAGGAAATTTGTTTAGACAGCATGTTTGAAACATCAGGTCAACCTGAACCCATTCACATTTTGAAATTCTTGTATTTTTGTTTGCCTTTTGCCTTCCAGAAAATACTTGCAACAGCAAACGTCTGGACCTCGTCTTCATCATTGACAGCTCTCGCAGTGTACGTCCTTATGACTTTGAGAAAGTGAAGGAGTTCATTTTAACCATCTTGCAGTTTCTGGACATCAGTCCTGATGCCACTCGAGTAGGTCTGATCCAGTACGGCAGCACAGTCAAGCAGGAGTTCTCCCTGAAGACGTTCAGGAGGAAGCAGGATATTGAAAGAGCAGTGAAGAGGATGATGCACCTGGCGACCGGCACCATGACTGGACTGGCTATTCAGTATGCAGTGAACATTGCGTTTTCAGAGTCAGAAGGAGCTCGACCTCTGAAGCAGAATGTGCCCCGAATTATCATGATAGTGACAGATGGGAGACCTCAGGATCCAGTGGCAGAGATTGCTGCTAAAGCTCGGAACTCGGGTATCCTGATTTTTGCCATTGGAGTGGGAAGAGTAGATATGAACACGCTGAAGTCCATTGGGAGTGAACCGCATGAAGAGCATGTGTTTCTGGTTGCTAATTTTAGTCAGATTGAAACACTGACCTCTGCCTTCCAGACTAAACTTTGTGGTAAGATTTTTATTTGGAGATTTGAATGCGTAGATGAAAGTCAAACACAGAAAAAAACAAATGCATTATCATTAAATTTTTGTTGTTTTACATGGAACCTTATCTGTTAGAACATTTACATTGAAAAAAGGGAGACTAGTGCTATAAAATGTGGTCTGATTCCTAGTGGTCATAAGCAGTGAGGCAGACACGCATATCATGATTTTCCTGTTTGTTCCATAATAGCAATAAATTTACAACCCTCTGCTATTTGAATTTTATGTAAGTTGTTTCATCTATTGATTTTAAATGTGGTACTTAAACATAAAACTGATAAACCGTCTTGGTTATTTAAAAGATTCTTTGGAGCTCATGGATTTATCTTCCAAAGCTTAATTCTATGCAAACAATTATCTCTGTGCATGCCTTGTGACTGGAAGTGAAACACAGAGACATGGTATTGTTTTTATGCAATCCATTTTAAAAACAGAAAGTTCGGAAAAGCCATTACAGAGATATCATACAATAAAGTAAATAATATTTTAACAGATATTAATTTATGACAGATACATTGATACCATCTGTGATTCCCCGATAAGAAATCACCTTTTTCAAATACCATGGCAAATATTATTCATTTTATTCCAATCTGTGTACTTAATAGAATTTTCTTTTTTAGTTTTTCCTGAGATAAATATAAAAGATCTTCATGCAGATTTGGTATTAAACTGAGGCAATGCTTTTGCCAGAAAAGAACTGGGGCTTATTGTCAGCATAGTCTGGAGAATTTTCCTTACTTGGTCTTTTCAAAAATCGTTTGAAAGAGCAGCAAGGCTCCAGCTGAACTGCGTCAGCACAAACACCATCACAGACATTCATCAGTTAATAGATTTTTCCTGTTTCTTCCTTGCGTTATTATTAGCTGAGGTACTAAGATACATTTAAAAAACAAGAAAAAGTAAACTAAACATGGATTGAGAGCTTAAATGAAATCAACAGCAAATGCTTCAAAACTTCATCTGATTGGATTTTTTAAATTGCATTTTAGAAACAAATCCAGTACAAATACCACTTACTCTTTTTTTTTTCTGACTAGTGTCCAGTAAATGTTTTATAGCTCACTTTTAATCCAAATACACATGATCCTCAATAAAACCATCTCCCCTGCAGATGGAGGAGTATGGAGGTGACAAGGATTGGTCCTGCCTCCTTTTCTCAGGGAATGGCTCCATAACATTTACTGTGCCAGGAATGGAAGGTGAGATCCAAAGCCACACTTAGAAACCCAGACCCATGTGCAACAGAGAATTTACACTGTTAGATTCTTATGGGTTTCAACTTAAGGGGCAAAATTGTGGATAGGATCCTTAATGTTTTATTGAGTCTGGACTGTGAAGCAGTTTTCTGCTTGCTGTATTTCGGGAGTCTGATCTAAGCATCTCATAGCCTCTGCTCTTTAGAGCATCTACATTCTTCCCAGGAAATGCAATTAGGGTTTTTTTTAAAGTCCTTCCCAGTGTGAATTCAGAGGCAATATCATTGTAGCCAAGTTGAACGTGTGAACACCTTGTTTCTTTGCTGGAGCAGTTCAAGGCACCCCCCTGGTCAAGTCTCCTGGCACGCAGTCTGCTGAGCATCGTGCTGTGGGGAAAGACCTTGGCACCTGAGCTCTCCTTGTGTCTGGGTTGCCTTACGGCCGTGGAATGTGCCTTCACAGTTCCTGTGAAGATAAGAGAAGGACCTGGCCAAGTGATGAAGCTCTGTGGGAAAAATGAAATGTAAGCCGAGTTAACCACTGTTTACCCATGTAGAGCAGAGATTACCCAGTGCCTCACAGCTTTATTCTCAGAAGTATCCATATAAGCTGGCTGTGCTCCAGCCCCTTCTACAGTTGCTGCCTCTGGCTGCTAATAATTTGAGGGTGTCAGAAATAGTAGTTAAACCCAGGGGATCCCAGGGATCTCTTTTTATTACCAGTCAGCAAGGTAAAAGAGAAGCAAACATCATCCTGGGAAATCAGAGGCATGAGGAGTGAGACAAGTTGAAAACTCAGAAGAGAAACAGAAGTGGGAATAGAATCCAGGAAAAGAGGTGGAGATTGAATAGAAGAAGAGTGAGAAAGACAGAAGTTGGGATGCAGCAGTCAGGAGCAAATAATCTTTATTATTTTCCTGTAAAGTAGGTAGTGGTGTCACTCCCATTTTACACTGGAGGAACAGAGGCACGGAAACAGGGTTAAGGCTATGAAGATCACCCACTAACTTTAAATATTTGACTCAATGCAACCACTGGTCTGATTTTCTGGGGCATTTGGCATTTTTAGACTAATATAATGTACCAGTCACAGCCCTCAGCCTTCACTTGCAGCTGAAAGAGCTCTGCATTCTTGCACCTCTAGATTCAGGTGTCCCTAGCTGAACACATACAGTGTGAACATTGATGCTTGCTTGAACATACTGATATTACTGGCTTGCCCAAAATCAAATAAGGACCCTCTGACATAGACAGAGATAAAATCTAATTCACAAGGCTTATTGCTCACACTGATCACATTCAAATCCCTTAACTATGATATCAGCCTTTCTATTACTTCAGTCCCTGGCAGTGCCCACTAAACACCTCCTGCCAAAAATGAGGTCGCAGAAATCATAGACAGCAGCCTCCTTCACCACAGAAATCTGACTGATTTCCACAGTACCACTGATGCTTTGAAATGGGTGCAACAGAGACACTTCGGGAAAAAAATTATGTAATAGTATTTCAGAAGATTGGTAACAGACAGTAACAATATATTTCCAGAAGGGACTGAGTTACTGGGACACTTAGCATTGAATGCTTCTTTTTTATTTCTTTTTTTTTTTTTCTTTTTTTTTAGTATTCTGTTCTTTTGATATGGGAGGACTGGCTGTTTTTGGAGTAATGTTCTATAAATTCATGTTCTATAGCATTAGTATCAGCTAAGATTTTCTGATACTTAAACTACTGAAACTTTTCATTTGTCATATTCGAGAGTGCTTCTTTGGTCATAACAAGCTATACCTGATGTTGAAAGGTAGTGAAATGTAGCCAGGAGGGAACTTCAGTTTAGAAAGCATCAGAGGTCATAAACTTCATTTGCTGAATGATGGAAAGATGAAAAGACAAGAAGTCCAAGCAGGTCTATAAATAAAAGTACTTGTGAAGTTTCATTATGGCAGAAAATTATGAAATCCAAAAGCTGATTAAGAGATTTGGGAATTGTGGTGGTTTGTATATTAGTAATAAATGTATAACTCTGGTAACCAAAGACCGGATACATAGTCTGTATCATAAAACCACATTTTTTTCCACAAGTACCACACATACCACATGTTAAGTTATTTATCAGGTTTCTGTTGTGGCTGCGAGAAGCAGATTACTGTTAATATCCATTCCATAAATTTTGAGCTTTGCCAACCTAGCACAATAAGGAGCACATCAATCCCTAATTGTTGTTGAGTAAAATAGATTATTTTCCACACAACACTCTCCAAGAAATAATTCACCTATATATTACAGAAATTACATACAAGCAGTGCTCCAGTAGAAAGAAAACATCAGGGAGATTTCTTAACTCCCAACTACTGATCTGGAGAAAAATAGTTCAGCACTGAATTTGACAGAATGGGCCCACTATTCTTTTTCTTTCTTACTGTCTCAGTCTGTTGCATTTTACTACTTGCTATTAAAGAGATAAAATACAAAGAGATTAAAAAGAGACTCAGAAAGACTTCTACTCTGGAGTGTAGCTCAGCTCAGCTCCCCTTTATTGAATCTTGGAGATACATGACCTCAGTGTCATCAGGTATTGCTTGTGTGTTTCTCAACATTAATAACTAAGCAAGCAAGATTCTTCATCAAGTTTTCTAGTCATTCTTCTTTAATATTTTGCTGAGTGGTGATTTTCTTTTTTTTTTTAAAAAGTAGATGTTCTCTAGAATATTTTGTACTTAAATTCCACTTATTTTCTAAATTTGAACATGGTAGGTTTGTTTCATTGTCTTCATGGGACCACCATGTAATTAGTGCTTCCCGATACTCTATTGTATATTTTTATTTTGTTTATATCTCCATTCCACATGTAATTTTATGTCCAAAAACAGGCCAACATGCCACCGGTGTCAACCAGACAGAAAATATCTAAATTCCTACTTTTTTTAGGAATAAATACATAGTACTGTTCATTAAGGATTTTTTTTCAGTCTTATAGGCTTAAGCATTTTTGTCTTTACTGTCAACACTTATTTTGGAATTTCTAAATCACTTCAGTAAAATTTTCTACACCATTTTTTTTTGTTATGACCACAATAAATAAGACCAGCAGTCAATAACCTTTTACTTTTTTTCTTTCAGTACCCCATATGTGCAGCACAGTTGAGCATCGCTGTGATCACTTCTGCATAAACACTCCTGGCTCCTACGTATGCAGATGTAAACAGGGATACATCCTGAATGCTGACGAGAAGACTTGCAGCAGTATGTTATCTTTCTTCACTTTTCTCTTTCATGCTCCCAAGAAGTGCATAACATCACATAGCCTTTTTGTTTGGCTTATAAAGAAGGACTGAGTATATAACTAATGGTAATCATCAGGAGGAGTCTGAAAAGGTGAAGTTGTGAATCTGATCCTTGTTTTGTGTAAATGAAGTTCTTATAAACCTTTCTGAAATACATCAAGGTAATTTTTATACACAGCTCTTCAGAGGTACGCTGTAACAACATAAAATTGAATTTGAATTTTATTGGTGAAATGAGTTCAGTGAAGCAACAATCAAAGAAAACTGTGTTATCACCTTGTGTGAAGTGAATCTGACTACTTTAGTAAGTTGCCTAGATGGCAGCCAGTACTAAATAGTACAGAAGGATCCAATAAACCCCATACTAGAGAACTGTGAAATAACTCGCCATTCTGAAAAGCTCTTCCTAACTGCTGCTTGAAGTATCAGGGTTTGCAACAGTGGAAAGAATAGTCTCAAAAGTCTTGCTTATGTTTACGTTTCCTTCTTTAAAAGGTTGACTTTTTCAGTTTTAAGTAATTTGCTTTATAGTTTACAGTAACAAAACTATTACACTTTAATTGTGATCTTTGTAAGCAGCATTTATCCATTTTAACTTGCTTCCTAGTAATTAGCAGCAGACTACATTAGATGGGTATGCCAAATTTATTTATGCATTCACCATTACTTTAAAGAAATGATGTAATTCTATTTTTAACTACTTATGGAAAATGTACTTCCTAAAAATGCAGTTTCTTATCTGATGACAGTGCATGGATTCAAGTGAAATTTGCCAAACTGATTTTAGCCATAAGAAAAATTTTGGAAAATGTCTTTACAAAAAGCAAGAGGAGACAGTCATGGTGAGAGCATAGGATATACCCCTTACAATTGATAATTTTGAATTAAGGTGAAGGATGAAGGATGAAATTCTATCCTTGTGTTTGAACTTGCATGTTCCACATCGCAGGAGAGTGCCATAAAACAATCAGGTCGTTTGGGATTAGAGGGTTCTTGGTCCCTTGTGCTTAGTGTTGTATTTTATATCAAATACTTAGTGACCACTGAAACAGCAAGAGTGTTTCAGTATCTGAGGCGACTGCAGCTTGGGGATTGAGTCCTTACATGTGCAGTGGGACACATGGTTTCAGTCAGTAAATAGGAATGGGGACAGAAGGATGTCAGCACTGGAGTGATTGGGGCATTCTCGCTGCTGCATGAAAGTGTCTTCAAACCATCTGGACTACACCAGGAAATTGCTTTAGAACTGTTCACCTCCCTCCCCAGCGATGGGATGAGTTGCTTTTAGTAATCTCTGTTTTCTAGTCCTCACCAGCATCCTTCACCGAATGTAGATGATTGCATATGGATGTGTGTGAATTATAGGGACTTTTGTGTTAAATGAAACTGCTTTAACATTTTATTTGTGTTTTTGTTTCCTCAAGAAGATGCAAAAAAATCAATCCAATCTGGAATATTTCCTAATTATTACTTGGTTTAACAGATGAGCCAAGACAAGAATAGTGACAAGAACAATTTTTTCACACAGCCTATTTTCTTTGCTTCTGCATACTTGGTATATAGCTTTTCAGAAAGAGGGTGGTCAGAATCCCAAATGATGGCTCTAACTATGTAATCACATTTCAGTAATATTCTCTAACCTGTTCTTTTCATTATGACCCTCTTAAAATGCTTAATTTAAAACTTTTCTACCCTTAAAACCTTTCTTTTAAACCCTCCTCATGCTATTATTTTTTTAAAAGATTCTTTCAAAGAATTATTTTGCTTTCAATTTTCTGGAAATTATTTGAAAATCAAAATTTCTCTTTTTTATTCAATTTCCTCTCACACATTTTCCCCATCCTCACTCCTAACATCAATTTTGACAACTGATTTTTTTTTTTGTGAATCAATTTTTTTTTTTTAGGTATGACTCAGTCTTTTATTATTTTTCCCCACTTACCTGTCACACATGATTTGCTTGACTGTGTACTTGCTTTGATCATCAGTCAGATGATTGTAGATTGCAGTTTGCTAAATATGAAAGGGAAATGAGTAATTCAGTGTGTTTGTAGCCTACTTCTAATGGACTTTTTTCTACATTACCAAGTATAAACTAATTTTAGCAATTAGCACCAGAGATCTAATATTGAGAGCCATCAAACTGGCCTTAAATGTGCTAATATGGTGCAAATCATTGGTGAAGGAGGGAGATGATATGGTATCAGTCTAGACAAGGTCAGACCATTATGTCTAAAACATCCCCAGAGAAGTAACAGAATTCATGAGGAAAGGAGACCAAGCCAGGACAACCTGGACAGGTTATTTCTGGAGGTAAGGGGAAGCATGGTGACAGAAGAACCCACAGTCTGTGACCAGTTTAGTTACCTTCATTGGCTGCTGATTGTCCACAAGTGCACAGAAACCACATGTTCCTCATTTGACCTCTAAGTAAAATAAATCTTCATCATGTTTATGTTTAGTGCAATACATGATCAACATAAACCAGATGTATTTATCTAAGGTTTGGATGCATTTGCCAGCTCTTTCATGAACAGTTTCCTTTAATATATATTTTTACACTGTCTAAATTAAACAATGCAGAAAAGACGAATGGTATCTGCCTAATGTTATACTCTCTTTTCATTCTTCTGCACCTAAAATTATACTCTTTTTTCATTCTTCTGTTACCTTTTTTTTATATTGGGAAAGTACACCATATCAGTATTCAGTTCTTAGAAGCCTTTAACCAAATGACTTCAATCAGCAATGAATTTACAACTTTGTTTCAGGCTGGAAAAGGGTATATTTCTCTTTTGAATAGATGATAGTTTTGTTCCTTGATACGTTTCATTTTAACATTATGTCTAAAAAAAATAGAACTAATTAGAACCCTTGCATTGACGGAAAAAAAACCTGCCATATTTGTGATTTGTTACTTTCCATGTGGAAAAACTAAAAAAGCAACTTAGTTATCTGCCAGAAGAAAACTAGAGGAATAAAGTTCTTTTGTTTAACTTGAAATGTTCTTACATTTGTTTTATTAAAATGGTTTTGCATGCATGCAAAGGATGCTTCTTTCACATACTCTGATCTAACTTTCTAGAGAAGAGTGGCTGTGTCAATTAATGGCTATTCTTTACTCATTACATTGTATTTGTTTGTTTAACTGAATCTCTTCCATTCTTCTTTAGAGATGTTAAAATGTTACATTAATACACAAAATAGTACAAAAGAGGAAAGGTAGCTGAAACAAGCTGGAAAATTATCTATTTGTGAGTGTTTATACTGAAACAAGAGAGTTAAACGACTGTTAATGCTCTTCACCATGCCACTTGATATGAAGCAGACAGCTATAAAAGAAAATTGGTATTTGCTTGGCTAGTTTCCTCAAACATGTTCCAAAAGCCTTTTTTGTAGCTATAAATTATCTTTATGTGTTTATCTATGTGTTTAGCTGTCTTTTGGGCCTGATCCTGAGGAACACAAAATACTCTGCTTTCCAGGAACTTCATTGGAGAAACTTGGGGTTCTCAGAAAGCTTTAGTCTATTGAAAAGAAAGCCCAATGTGCATCATTTGAACAGGTGCCGAACTGACCTCATTTGTCATAATAATTTTTTCTAATGAGATCTTTTCCTTGGGAAGGGTAACTTGCTATGGTATTTTGCACAAAACTGAAAAATCATAAAACTCAGAAATGAAGTATCCCCAACTCTTTTAATGTAGCATTTGCCTTTTCTTTCCCTTTCCAACCTTGTCATTATTTATCTGAGAGGGTTATGTAAAAAAACCTCCAAAAACTAAAAACAAAAACCCCCCATTTTAAAAAATGCGAAACAAAAGAAAAAATACGGAATGCCCTTCAAACTTTGTAGACAAACATACAGTCACATACAGTCAGGCAACTCTACTAGACAGCATTGGCCCTTCAATAGTCATTGCCTTCAGCTGAAAGAATGAGATCCTCAGCTTTGAGTGATTGTTCCCACTGCCATAAGAGTTTCGCTGTTTGACAGAACATTGGCAGGATCTATGTTAAAATGAGCTCATCTCTAAAGAGCTGTTTGTAGCTTCCTGAAATTTATTTTTGAGCTATAGTCTACCCGTGCAGTATAGAAGGACAGAGAATTTCATATTTCCAATACCTGAAGGGTGCCTATAAGAAACATGGGGAAGAGCTGCTCTCTAGGGCATGTAGCGATAGGATGAGGGGTAACGGTTTTAAACTAGAAAAGAGTAGATTTAGGTTGGATATTAGGAAATAGTTCTTCAACATGAGGGTGATAGATAACTGGAACAGGTTGCCCAGAGAGGTGGTGGAGGCCCCATCCCTGGAGATTCAAGGTCAGGCTTGATGGGGTCCTGAGCAACCTGGTCTAGTAATATTGTCCCTGCTTACTGCAGGGGGGTTGGACTGGATGATCTTTAAAGGTTGCTTCCAACCCAATACATTCTATGATTCTATGATTCTGTATTAATGCAATTCTGTTTTATAGCTCAGGACCTTTGTGCTGTGGAGAAACATTCCTGTGAGCAGATTTGTGTGAACACACCTGGGTCTTACGTGTGTCAGTGTTATGAAGGGTATGAGCTTGATGCAAATGGAAAGAATTGTGTCGGTGAGTATGAGTTTAGCAATTCACAGTTATCTCTTGACACAAATCAAAGTAAACTAATATCCAGTTCAGCCATAGACAGTGATGGGAATTTCTCTTCTCCTATGTGAGTGATAGAAAAGGAAGAATACATATTGGCATGTTTGTAGGCCTTTACTGATAATGAATGGTAACTTGGGAAAATTGTTCCAAATAATTTCACCAGAAAGTAACATTGCTGTTCTGAAACAACACAGATCCATGTAGGTGGCCAGCAATGTATTGGCATGATACATGTGACCATTAAAAAAAACAAAGCAAGCCAGACAAACTTCCTCTTCAGACAGAAGCTATACATGGAAAAACTTGCAAGTGGCCAATTTCTTGCTTTTTCTTACTTGATTTTATGCTCATGCCAGGAGAGATTTCAAACTCTTTTTGGGAAGATGACTTTAAGGAAAATTTAGCCCCCCTTAAGAACCCATACACTATGTGTCTTTAATTTTTGCTATGGGCAGTAAAGAAGAAAACATCAGCTCTAAGAATTACAACTCAAAAGAATGAGTGTGGAAATACAGTATAGTAATTTTTTAACGCAAAACATACTTCCCTCTCTATTACCATTCAAGTAGCTCACTCTTCTTCCACATTTATACACAGCAAACAATTTTAGCATTATCTTTTTCACTGTCCTATTAGCCTTCTTGTAAACCTTTTATCCCTTGCTATATTTTGGGAGAATATTGTCTTCTTGTATCCACCAGAAAAAAACCCTAGTGAGTCCTTAAAAAAATCACCTTATTTGTTAGGTATTCTCTTCATGCAAGCACTTAAATGTATGCTTAATTTCAAATACATGCTGAAATCTCATGGAAGTGAATCCAAGTGAATCTTTGGCCCCAAATCTGCCACAGGCCACTTCAGTACTTTTGGCCAGTATTAGCCTTACTTATAGCTTCATGATCTCAGTATAAGAGTGTTTAAAATTCTCAGCATAATTTATCCTCAGCATAATTTGGCTACTACCATTTTAAGAACCTGCTTTCTGAAGTTGAATTGTTTTGAAAATGCAGCTAATAATATCTATTAGGCATGAAGGCCTGTTAGAAGTTCTGGCCCAAATTTCTACATCTAACACTCCACAGAAGTTCATCCAATAACCTTTGCTAATCCTCACAATCTTTACCTGTGTTAGGATAAAGCACATGAATGCTTCAATATATATTAATTATGTTTTACCCATGCAGAACTTAGCCTCTCTGTGTTTCTTGAACAGGAAAAGGCTGGCTGGGTAATATCCAGTTTTCATGCTAATTTGTCGGCAAATCCTATTAGCTCTCAGTCTCTAGAATTTGACTTTTCAGATTTGAACAACTGGAGGTTTTTGAGGAATATGTTACTACCAAGAATGTACAGCCTCTGCAGATGTCATCACCAATGAATAATCATCCTTGCTGGAAAATGTTGTAAAGGAGACTGTGTATGGTAGTGAATCAGTAGTGATAACTCTTAAGCTAGTTAAGCATTCCTTTCACTGAAGTATTTATTATTAAATGAGCAGGATCAGAAGAAAGATCTTAATTTACACATATACCAGAGACCACCAAATACAACAATTTTGCAAAAAGCAGTGTCTTCATGAAGGTTACACTCTCCTCTTCATCCAGAGAATAAAGAGAGAATTTCAGTAGAACATACACGTCGCAGTTCTCTCAAAGAGTCAAAGGTTTCTCTCTAAGGTATCTGAGACTTCTAAAATCTTAAATGAGAAAGTACAGAAACTTAGTTCACAGGCAGGTTTATTAAGTTCTTTTCCTCCTTTCTGATGGGCTAATTTCTCTGGTTAAGGATCAAAGGCAATACCAATTGCTTTATTGACATGTCAGCCAGTTACCTGAGTGGCAGTAATTAAATAAAATCTCAGAACCAGCAGCTCACAATGTATCCATTCAAAGTGACCACTAAATTGTAACCACTCAGAGTGTTTGCAACACACACTTTATGTACAAATTTGGAGACTAATCAGTATTTGAAACTGTCTGCTCAGGGATAAGTATGGCTGGCAGAGCACTATCATTGCCTTTTAAAACAGCTTTTCATGTTAACTGCCCTCCTTTCACATGAACAAAATCCCATTCAGGTTTGGTGGTAATAAGCCATTCTTTCTCCATTATGCTGCTGGACACTCAGCCTGTCTACCTTCTCGGTGCTGCTGGACATGCTGTCCTCTCCTTCCTGGCGCTGGTGCCAGACTGTCTCTGTATTGCTGCAGCTGTTGGGCTTGGGACCTCTCCTCCTGGCACTGCTTTGGCTGCTGGCACCTCTCTGCTGTCCTGGCATTGCCAGATTTTTCTGGCTGTTTTCTAGGTTCTTATGAGTCTTCCATGAGTCTGCTCTACTCTTCGCACACATTCTTTTTAATCCTACTTGTGCCTCTACTTACTCCATCACCTTTTCTTCCTACGCTTTCCTTCTACTCTTCTCTTTAATTTATTTTGTTCTCCTTAGTCTGAATAACCTATATAAACATCATAAGTGTAAGCCAACAATACAAGAGAAAGATGACCCATGCTGTCCACAGTTCAGAGAGGGCAGTGTAAACACCCAGAGTGGTAACTGGAAGTAAACGATAGCTCTCATGACTTACCATCTGATTCCAAGCAAGAAAAACAGGGTGCACAAACGTGGAGAGATGACAACTAAATTAATTGCTTGCTCACTGAAAATTTCATGAATTCATCCTTTAGAAAAGTTTCTTCTTGAAATAGCATGGGCTAACTTTAAAACAGTGAGATCTCAAAGTGTTCACATTCTAGTGTATATCTCATGACTCAATACAGGAATATGAAAGTAATAAAACTTTTAAAAATTAGGAAAATATTATTCTGCTTTGCTCTTATACCAATTATGTGTATTTTTTGCATACCAACTAAAGGAATACAGTACTTCCATATAAGAAATACAGATTTATTATTTTTCTCAGTTGTTTCAGGAAGATTTAATGCCATGGACAACTTACCTACTTGCTTACTGGAATGCTGTTGGCAAGTTTCCTTTCTAAGCAAGCACCACCAAAATTAAACATGAAGCTAAAAGTGAAATGAATTTGTAGGTCAATTACTAGTGCCAGTCTGCAGGGCTAGGCCTGGTTGGAATTAGGGCACTTTATAAAAAAAAAATACTGAAAAAAAGGAATAAAACTTATCTCCAAAACCAACTGTCAAGAGAATGTTCTCACTTCTTAACTGCTATGTTAGTAGAAAGGCATTATTTAAATTGATATCCTCATTATTCCTACAGGCCAACAGACCTACTTCTGTGAGTAAGAGGTCCCTAGAAGGCTATAAATGGAAAAAAGCAAGCCTGAAAAATTAGTTATTTATTTCATTGTTTTTTTTTCCTTTCTGTTCACAGTACATTAGCAGCTGCATAGCCATAAGAAGGCATAGCTCCTCCCTCAAGAGACTGTCATCTGAAAGTACTTAGGATCACAGTTGCTCAGATGTTGAAAATAAAGCATTCTAAGACCTGTTCAGTTGTCTCTCAAACAAAAAAGCTGGTGACAGGGCTGGAAGGATGTCCTGTGAGGAGTGGCTAAGGACTTTGGGCTTGTCTGGTTTAGAGAAAAGGAGGCTGAGGGGCCACCTCATTGCTCTCTACAGCTTCCTGAGGAGGGGACGTGGAGAGGGAGGTGGTGGTCTCTTCTCCATGGTATCCAGGGGTAGGACACAAGAGAATGGTTCAAAGTTGTGCCAGAGAGGTTTAGGCTGGACATTAGGAAACATTTCTTTATGGAGAAGAGTGATCAAACACTTGGAACAGGCTTCCTGGAGAGGTGGTCAGTGCCCCGTGCCCCAAGCCTGACAGTGTTTGAGAGGCATTTGGGCAATGCCCTCAACAATGTGCTTCAACTTTTTGTCAGCCATTAACTGGTCAGGCAGGTGGACCAGATGATCCAGCTGGAACTATGCTATGCTATGCTATGCTATGCTATGCTATGCTATGCTATCCAATCATTAGGCAGTTGCAGGTATTGTGGTAGAAATGCATTTCATCAGGGTTTAAATGCAAAGGAGATTACTTTGTGGAGTGATCCATATGGGCTGTTTCCCAGGTGTGATGCTAGACAGAAAAAAATATATATTCTTTGACCTACTTATTTCCTAATGTGTCTTTTAAAACACTTACAAATGTACATATGGTTAGAATTAATTTAAGAGGAAAGATGACTAATTGTATGACACATTATATCCTTGAAATATATCTTCAGTAAATATGTTTTTATATGAAGCTATTCAGTCTGGAAACAGGAAGATGCTTGCCAGGAAAATGGTCTCACATAATAGCCAGTAAGTAGTCTAATTTGACTTGATTCCACACAAATTTTCTGTAGGGTTAAAAGCAGCTCTTTCACCACACAAATTTTCTGTAGGGTTAAAAGCAGCTCTTTCAAAGTAACTAAATGGATTATCCACTTTCCTGACTACGTGACCTTGACTAAATATCTTGGCGCACCTATGTATGTGCATGATTTGCAGGGCTATTGAAGAAGGAACTGATTTCATTAAAACAAATTACTGCCTCTTAAAGCAATTTGAGAGGCTCAGCAGTATAAAATAATGAAAAAATTATTCAGTTGGCAAAGAAGGGGAATCTGTCTCATTAAATATCTGTGTGGAGCTGAGCACGTTACTGCCTTCTGCAGAATGAATCAAGTAAACTTGCCTAACATGGGGCTGGCAGCTTTCTAGGGACAGAACACCTGGTTTGTGACTTTTCTTTAATTTCTTCCAAGACTTTATTTGTGAAGAAACAGCTTAACCTGCAAAGAAATTAAACCAAAAAACCACAACAGCTTCTTTCGCACTTCTGAATGGGCTTGACTGAAGAAACTCTGAAGTACTACCTTATTACCCTTTGGCAATGTATCCTGTAAATAAGAGTTTGTGTAATAAATTACTAGACTTATGAAATAAGTGACTGGACTAGCTGTGATATTTTTATTTCCTTCCTATAAAAGGCATTCTATAAGCAAAATATCAGTGGTGAATATCAACCTGAAGCTTTCAGGCTTCATAGCTGCAGCTGCTTTGTACAGGATGAATCTGGAGCACATTAAAGGGAGTGAATGTGCTGTGACAGTCCTCAGTATAGAAGGTATTGCCGTGAGTCTCCTATATTCTCAAGCTATGGGAACAGCTCCTGAGAACTAATACAGCTGGGAGGGAACTAAGGAAAAGTAGAGCAATTCCAGGACTGGGACTGGAGAGACAGAAGGCAGAACAGAATCAAACAAACTTTGCTACACCCTGGTCTACAGTGTGACATCTGGACAGAGTTATTGACTGAGGCATGATTTCCAGATCTGAGAAAACGTGTTAAGAAGGCTCCTGATGATCCAAGAGCTGATAAATGTTCAAAGAGTGGGAGAAATGATGCAAGACTCAGATCGAATCTGATTTACCAACTGGTATTGCAAGTGTGCTACTTTTTGCAGAAAGGCTGTTCAGGACAGAAATGATGTCAGCTTTTCCTTAATAGCTATTGTGTGTAACTAGTACCATAATATCAATGTATAATAGTTCTAATTTTGTTTTTCTAATTGTACATGTTGGTCTTGTTCTTTTTCAGTTTTAGACTACTGTGCTTTGGATAACCAAGGTTGCCAACATGAATGTGTTAACACTGAGGACTCCTATTACTGTAGATGCCACTCAGGGTTCATTTTAAATCCAGACAGAAGAACTTGCAGAAGTAAGTTGTGATAAGGTTTAATTATGAACAGTTTGTGCTTTTTCTGTCTTCCAGTTCTCAGCAGTAATACTCCCACTGGCCCCGGAGACACTGAATAATGCATCAGGTATAGAAAATGTTGTAGTGCCCTGGAAGCCAAAGGTTTTGAAAGCAATGCAAGTTGTTTGGGGCAGTAGTTCGGCTTTTTGCAGGAGGGGCTAAGGGTAGAACAGGAAGCTTTTAACATGAAACCAGGCTACTTTTCAACAGTAGAAGCCCAAAGCTTTATCTTGCATAGTCTCTTTGATTATCCAGATTTTTCAGTTAGAATATCATCTTCCTAGCTGGGTAAACAAATAAGTCTTTACAAGATAATTTATAATCAGCTTCATTGTTTAATTTATAATCAGCTTGTAAGCTAAAATTAAATAGAGTTGTTCTATAATTAGAGGAAACATTGCAGCCTATTTTCCTATGGATTTTTCTCAAGAGTGAGTCTTTGATGGTGTGCCAAAGCTCTGGCAACATCAGTATCTTCTACCAAGCTTCCATGTTTCCACCAGGTTATAATTTCATGGCTTTTCTTGTTTGTTGTTTGTCAAATTTGATTGATACCAGGCTAACAAGCTCAAGAATTACCAGAGTTAGGAGTGGATATAAAGTGGAGAGGAACTGACAGACCAGAAAGTACTCTTCCTGTAGTTGGGAAAAAAAGATAAAACCTCCACAGTGTTTGATGTCATAACTCACTTTCAGGAAATGTGAAGGGAAACCTTCATGTACGTTTCTAGTTACCTTTCTTCATAAATATGGGCCTTGATAAAGAAATGTTACTATTGTGTCTGTAAGTAGACAAAATCCATTAGTTTTAGGTGAGTGAAACTGTTGACGCCAGTGGTGAATTTAGCCCATATTATTGGTGTGTTCAAAAATTATTTCTCAAGAAAAAAACATCAATATAGCACTATATTTCTGTGCTTTTTACAACCTTGGGGGCATTTCACTCTTTATGATGAGAGACTGTGTTGTATACTATGCATAGACCATATTGTGAATCATGCTTGGTATCTATTTCACTTAAATTTAACATTTAGAAAGAAAGCATATAATCCAGGCTGTAAATCTGACCTTATGACCAGGGGAAAGAGACACACACTTCTGGAAGGAGATTGCTCACAGCTCTGACACAAATTTATGGAAGTGCCTGTATTTTCCCTGACTGTGCAGGGAGCCTGAATGCGGCAAAAGTCAAGGCAGCATGAAAGCCTTTCAGAGCAAATGTATCCCCTAGCTTCTTTATGTTATGAATCACACTGCCTCTAAGTCAGCATAAACAACACAAGAAACAGACTTCAGGTCACTGGACTTAAATTGTTTGTAAATTTTAAACCTTTAACATAAACTTCTACATATTTGGCTCATGTACTGTATCTCAGGGATGATCGCCAACTAGCTATGGCTCACACCTATACCAGACTAGATCTCTGCATCAGCAAGCAGGCCCAGGCCTGGGGCACCACCTCCCAAGATCTCATGATTATCTCAGAATTCTGGCTTTCCTTTCAAAAATAGAAAGTATGCTTCCATGCCCACGGCTACAAAGAAAAGCTTGAAAATGTAAATGTTATCGGTACAGTCATGCATATCTGACAAATGTTTTCTCTGGAAATTACTCCAAACTTCCTAGAATGAAATACAAAGAACATGGCTCATGAGGGCAACCCTGCCAAGACCAGCAGAGCACTCTATGTGTGGCTGGAGGAGAGCAGCAAATTCAGATTATCAGTGAGGCAGGTAGCAGTCATTCCTAGGTACTAAGTTAACTATTAAGGGCATGTTTGCCACTCTTGATGCTCTCCTTAAGAGGACAGATGGTAGCTGCTGCTTGTCCTTAGGGGAACTGAGCCTCAACTGTTGTTCTTTAGGGAAGGCCCCTGTTTGAGTTGTGGGTGGGTTCACATGAGCTATACTTAATCTGGACTGTGCTAATGAAGCCCTGTGAAATGTGTTTTTAGTGCTGCCAGCATAATAGCCCCAAGGTCTCAACAAAGACAATAACACATATTTTTCAGCTCTTGTGGTCATCTTCAGAATCAGCTACCCAGGGAAGGTTTGTCCTGCACACTTGAGTTAGCAAGGATTTAGGTAGGTAAATTCAACACAACACTGAGTAGGTCCAGAAGACATACAGCTATATTCCTCTGGTGCACTCACGTGGCTTTATGGTTTCTGTCTCTTCAGCGCACTCTTGAACAAACCATATTTCCTGATTTTATTTTAGTAAACGGATTAGATATCCATGTGTTATGTTTATGTGCATATGCTGTCATAAAAAGATTTGGTAAAGGAAATGTTCTATAACTATATGAAGTGGAGATCATAAATGATAAAATATTCCTCTCATGTTTTCTTAAAAACTCACATTCCACTTTGTCCTGAAAATATAGGTGGTTTATTATTGCTGTGGGCTTTTATCATATATAAAGGCTCAATCGCATTAGCCCACCATACATACAAAGAAAGGACTGTTCCTGTCTCAGGAAGCCAATTACCTCTGGGAATACTAATTAACCTCTCAATGTCAGTTTTCAGGTTGTGTAATTAGGTGTTCAGAAGTGCCTGGATGTCTTTAAAAATGTGATTTACTTGATTTGTGAATTTGTTTATCTATTTTTAAAAGTGCTGAGGGGTTAAGACCATTCTTTCAGTAGTATAAATTAATTAACTCAACTAATATAAAACTAAGTGAAGGCCAGACACTGCATCTAAGTGAATGTCAGGTTCTTTGACTTCATCAATAGTGTTAAACACTATGTGGTAATTATCCCAGTGCTGACTGCACAGTTACTTTCCTTTTAAGGTACTTTATACACAAGCAGTAGCTGTTTCTAGACTTCGCCTTTCATGAGTATTTCAAATGGAAGAACTATGTAGCAAACACCCAGAGCTGTTAAAACACCAATGCTCCTGATGAGCTGATTGTCCTGCTTTGATCTGATGAACAGCATTCAAAAGCACGTTTCTGTATGTATTACAGATCACATCTAACTTGCCTTGAGTAAAATAAAGAGGTGGTTTTGATGAGGCAACGTATAGGACTTAACTGCAAAATGTTAAGAAATATTTAAGATTCTGCCTTCTCTATGGTGTGTGGTACATGTGTTCTCAAACCATGCATTGAAGTATACATATCAGGTATACCTAAGTATAGCAGATCTTTGGAAAGAAGGAACATTTTCTTTTTATATTTTGAAATAATATGGTAAAAAGTCAGAATTATGCCTAAAAAAAAAAAGGCTAAAGTAAAGAAAACAAAGTAACTGGTTTTTACCTTGCTTTTTTCTGAAGAATTCTGTTCCTCACTGACACATTTTTTCCCATTTAGGACCAGACTATTGTGCTCTTCAAGACCATGGCTGTGAACAGGAATGTGTTAATACAGATGATTCCTATTTTTGTCAGTGCCAAGAAGGGTTTAGACTTAATCCAGATAAGAAAACATGCAAAAGTGAGTAATCCTTTGGACATAGTGAAGTTCATCTGCTTTTATTTCATAAACCTGTGGTGAATGGTTTCCCTTCTGAAAGGATGAAAGTTTTTTATTTTTTTTCTATAATTAAGGTTGAGACAAATGTTTCTTTATAAAATTGAATTTTAACTGAGACAGTCATGCTGAAAAAAGTACTGTTTGCTGTTTCGTAGACAAGATTGTCTATTAGACATTTTCTGAAGAGATTTATGAAAACCTGAGGAATAATATAGGAACCAGGGTGGCTCAAAAACAATAAGTTCATTACTTATTTGAAACTTTCTGACTTTGTCATGTAGTGACACAAACAGCTTTTTTAAAAAAAAAAATCACCTTCCTTTGCCCAGTTGGTTTAGCCATAGACAGATGTATTTCATTAGCTTGGAAAAGTATTGGATAGGTAGTGTAGCTTTTAAAATTAACAGAAAGTCACACACGAAAGCACACCGTTTGCTACAAAAAAGTTATAAAAACAGCTTCAGGAATGTCAGGGTTCAAAACCAGTCACACATACTATTTACTTTAAAAAGACTTTTGTGTTACAGCTCTTCTTGAGTGGGGCCTAGAATTACATCACGTTTTCAATGTAATGTGGTTAAAGGAAAATATATTCAGCAAAATGAACTAGCCTGATCCAATGACTCAGTTCTTGGGGGGGAGAACTGTACTGCTGACATTTTATGAATAAGAAGCTTGTCTGGAGCAACGTAATTATATTTCTAGAGGCTTATAAAATGTATCTGGTTTTGGAACTGTGTTTTCTTTCAGTCTTAAAGATGCATTCTCATGAAGCATCTTCATCTACACAGTGCTGTTTTTACAGCAATACATGCTGTTCTGGTTTTTATTATCTATATGGTATTTTAATAGATTTAATACACATTTTTATAGACTGGATGTGCCTTGGTGAGTATAGAAGCTAAAGAACAGCATTGTGTAGAAGATTTATTGCCAAGGATGTAATTCAGAATTAAAGGCAAATTGTAATTCTCATTTGGGGTGTTTTTTCCTTAACCTTAGGGGGGCTTTGGATTTGGCTATAAACCTGGTGACATTTCCAGGATTAAGCTCCTATTCCAAATCTTGTTATAACAAGGCTCATGTTAGATAAGCTTGTAAAATAAAGCAGAATATTTGTATATATGCCCTCTTTATAAAGCGGGGAGAAGGCATTGCTGGTGACTAGCACCAGGCATTCCTCCTTCACCACGATGCATGACTTCTGGAGACTGCAGAAGCAGCCAAGTACTTGCAATCTTCTCTCAGATCCTCAGCTCGCTGTCAGCTTTAACCACTATCATTTAAGAAAAGTGAGTTCTTTTAAGCCATTTTGCTTCAGAAACCCTCATGGCTGGCTTCAGTTCTTCACTGTTTTTTTCTCCATGGAAGTAAACTTCTGTGCTTTAGGTCAGCATGACTTTGAGTGTGAATGCATTAACATGGAAGAGTCATTTGTGTGCAAGTGACATCCTGGACACTCCTCACAACGTGCAGGCAATACGTGCAGAAACAAGTGTGTCTCATGAACTGCAGCGACGAGTGCCTGCAGTGGGGCGAGCTGTGAACAGAATGAGAAAATGCTCCTGGATTCATTTTGGGATCTTTCTGAGCTATGCAAACCTATGTAAAGTCCACCACGAGCCAGGCCTAGTGATGTAATGCTAGAATAGTGAGATCCCTGATCCAACAGAGAATTAAAGCATCATTTTCTCCAATCCAAAGAATTGGGAAATTGTGTTCAGCCAAGGTGCCTGACACAAAGGCAGTGCTTACTGAACATCTATGTTATTGCTATGGGCTATGTAAACTGCAGCACTGATACGGGTGTATGCCGATATGTGGAGATAAGGGATCAGTGTTGCACCAAAAGAACTCAACGTTTCCCACTTGACATCACCCAGTTTTTAGAAGATAATTTTACTGCAGAGAACCATTTTGCACATCATCTAAAATACTGGCAGCATTTTTCCCTGATGTACTTATGGCATATGTTTCTAAAGGAACACTCAGTTACTGAAATCAAAGATAGGCCAGGGAGTAATTAATTTTCAATAAACTGTTTGTGATAAAGCCATATTTAAGGACACTTGGATGTGTTACAAGAGCTCAGAACTTCTTAACAGTTATGGTTTTAGGCTATCACAGGTTGAACAACTAAAAATTTTTATATCCCAAGACGCTCATTGTTCTTAAAAATATCGAGTCTTCTCCTGCCTCTTACCCTTCTTACATTTTTTACACATGTAATGAAGCACACCTGATGACCAGATTTACAGTTACACTAGTTTATAAAGCCTGGTAATTAGCATCTTAGGGATTACTCCACTTTTTGAAAGAGTCTGTTAAAAGATTCTGCATGAGAACTCAATGTATTTTAATGTTAAAATTCACGTTAGTGTGGGTGTTTGTATTGTAAAAGACAGTGCCAAACAGATGCAATTCTTCACAGAGAATACTGGAGAGGTTTATTTTCTTTTTCCACATTTTTTGTGTGCTCTGAGAAGTTACACAAGCCTCTTGATGATGATGTAAACTCTTGGAAAAAGGAGAAGTTCCAGCTGGAACTTCCTTTAGCTGGTAAAAACTGACAGCTCAGCTTCAGTTGTTCAAGCCAATGTTATCTCTATCTATGTATAATGGTAAATCTGGACAACTACTGCAAACTCGTTGCTTGGGTAAATAAACTAATAAACAGCAATATTTAGATCTAAGTAATTTTACATTAGGTACAGTTTTTTTAAATGTAAACAAATAGTTGCAGACATGCCTGTTCACATCTGTAAATGATTTGCAAATAGAGACATGAGACTGTGTTTGTATTGAGGGAACTCCACTACTTTTGATCAAGTTCAGCTAAAGTGATTTGGGCCTATATAACTAAAAATAGCCATTAACAAGTTGCCAATAAAATATGAGGAAGTTTAGTATAAAACTTTTTTCCTAAAATGTGCTTTTTCTATACTTACAGAGTCAGCAGACTACATAGTACATCTACAAGTGCACGTATCTCACCCTACTGCTCTGCTGTCCATTCTAAGAGAAAATACAATTTTTAAACCCAATTCACACCTCTCTCTCCCTTCTTTTACCCTTCGTCTTTCACTCAACCAGTTGCCTACAAGACTGAAAAAAAATACTCTTGTTTTCTCTTACTTGGAATAGGAATAGGAAAATCAAAGAAAAGGAATATATTAAGATACCCTCACACTTATCTGTGTGTAATTTGTATCTGTCCCCCACTAGGCTTTAACTGCTTGAACCTGTCAGCAGGTTAAAGTTTTAAATTAGTGATTTCTCATCCTGTTGAAAAAAAATTTTCTGTTTATGAAATAATCAGAAAGCCATATTTTCTATTTCAGGAGTTACTAATATTCATACTTTTTCTCTGAGAAAATTTTATGTTAAACAAAAGAGAGCATCATACTTTTTAAAGAAAGTTTGATTTTGTGCGTAAGACCAGGCAGGACTTCAAGGTTCTCCCTTCACTCCACTTCACGTTAGTTTCCCTTTGTGATTTTTGGCAAGGGAGGTCTGCACTTCATCACGTTTGCTATCTGCCAAGTGGGGTTGTTGTATTCATTTCACTTAGGTGGTGTTAATTAACTCAGATTACTCAAATAGGTGGGGCTACTGCATAAATAGAAAGATGCAGTATCTATTTCCCTTGCTCTGCAAAGGCATCTTGTACTAACTACAGTGTCTGTATCTAATAATAATTTTTCAATTATTAACACAAATCAATAGGAGTGGACCACTGTGCTGAAAGCAATCACGGCTGTGAGCAACTGTGCCTAAATACTGATGACTCCTACGTCTGTCAGTGCTCTGAAGGATTTGTCATCAATGAGGACCTAAAAACCTGCTCACGTAAGTCTTGTGAGAAGCCTCTTGATCTCAGCTCACCTGGGAAAGGTTTGTTTTCACACAGGGAAGAGGGGCATACTTTCAATGAGCTTTAGTTTTTGCATGGGAGCCCTTGTGAACTAAAGCTATCCTTACAGCTCTCCACCCTTTATAAATCTAATGATCACTAGACAATCATTGCAGAATAGCCAAATTGCTTCCCTCACTGGAAAAATAACATATAGAAAGGGAAGGAAAAGAGGAATGCATTTTGCCTATTGGCTTTTCCTGGACCTCTTTGATGAGAGGATTTTGGCCCCTTTTTCTACAGATCTTAGAGGTACATTATTTTGAATGTTGAATGTTGGAGCAGCTCCAGAGTTTGCTCCTTTTCTTGTGCTCAGTTAACACAGTTTTAACAGAAATCAAACTGCAAGTGCTCAGTCACAAAAATGATCTAAGGAGAACTGAGGAAAATCAGCAAAGGGAATTTGAAAAAGGCAATCAGAAACAATTTATCTAGGCATTTATCTAAAAGAACCACTGGAAATTTAGAAACAGCTGAACTATGGAGTTTTATCAACTTGCTAATGGAAACTCCCTTTTCCTGTGTAGTAAAAAGAGGCGTTTTTTTCACTTTTGAGTTATTTTCCTGCAGGCTGTACTTGGAGACCTATCAGCAGCATTAAAGCAGTGCTATGGCTTCTGGAATCCCTCTGTGCAATGAAACTGAGCCCTTTTGAATAGTTCCTCTTCTTGGCAGCATACCTTTCTCTTCATATATATTTAGGAAAGAGATTTGTCCTCTTCCTGAGCTCCAGATGAGTTGTTGAAAACTTGTGGACAGTTTTAGGCTATCATGAAAAGAGTTTTGGCACTTTGGGATTTCCTGAATGAGCAGTTGAATGGAAGGGATTAGCATTTAACATGTACTACTCCTAATGGGAAAACATCTGGGAATTACAAATCTGATGTCATATACACAGGTGCAAGTATTTTAAGACAGCTGTGGGAATACCTGAACAGTAAACAGATTTCTACTCTGACAGCCAATTACAAAAATATTAGTGACACTGTGTGTGTAGCCAAGAGACAGTAGCAAGTGCTGACTGCAGGATCTCAGGGGTCCTGTCTTTGAATTACAGAGAAGAAACACTTGTCAAATTAGAGATGACAAATGGACCATATTTGACAGTACTTATCATTTGCAATTCTTTGCAAAAGCTTGAATGGTCTAAGCCAAAGCCCACTGAGGTCCTTGAGAGGTTTTCTGCTCACTGCCACAGCAACTGGGTCAGGCACACAAGTGACTGCCACCTTCACATCAGGCCATTTAGAGACTGTCTTTTAGGAAGAATATTCACAAGGTAGCTTTTATGTCTTTGCCACTGTCTTACATAAAATTATTGCTTAAAGTGTTTTGGTTTGGTTTTGTTTGGGTTTTTTTAAATTCAATTTGTAAGTACTGAGATGTGGACTCTGTTGAGCTATGTTAAGTATAGGAAAGTACAATTTCTCAACTCTGTTTAAAGCAACCAATGGAAAGTACACCACAAGGTCCCCTTACATTTTATTGATGCTATATGTATATTATCAGATAAGGAACTGGATTATTGCTTAAGCAGTTCAATACATTTACTTGCTTAAATGCCATGCAAATACTAAAGATGAAAAAGAATTTATTCATTATGTGTTAATTTTTTTAATCACTTCAATTGCTCCTACAGGAGTTGACTATTGTGCTCTGAATGATCATGGCTGTGAACATTTGTGTGTAAATGGCGACAGATCTTACACTTGTCAGTGTTTTGAAGGATACAGGCTTCGTAACGATGGGAAAATGTGTAAACGTAAGTCATTCAGTAACTCAGAGAGAAATTTTTATGGCACACATAGAATAAATCTGTAAGGTAAGATTTGATTGCCTAAACATTACTGCATCATGTCCTTTAAATGCTGGAGAATTCCAAAAGTTCATCTTTTTCCCTTTGGTGCCATATTTACCAGCACTATGTCAATATTGTAGATATGCTAAGGCATTTAAAATGGTACTGGATGCATACTTTTAGGCACCTGAATCACACCCTAAATGTCTGTGCCATTTAAAAAGTAGCCCTGAAATTGGACTGTTGTGGATCCAAAACTATTTTATTCTGACTTATAGCCTTATATGGGAAAACTGTAATTTTCTTCTCAAATCAAGGCAAAAATATATGTCACTAGTCTTACACAGCATGAAGCTTGCAATATTATTAATGGAAACTTCATTTTGTTCGGTGTGGGATAAGGATGGTTGTAAAAGATGTATCATAATTGCATTACACATTTGACTACATTATGCAGTTATGATGAGTGGCAGATATCAAGAAAAAAATCATTGCAAATTTTTCTCCATTTTTATAGCTTTGATCACTAAGTGATCAAAGAAGAATCATGGATAAGTATCTGAAAAACTCACAGGCATTAAGTATTTTGTGCCCGTAATCTCAATAATATCCATAGATCTCATCAATACCTTCTGTTAAAAAACTTTTACAGACAAAAATTAAATTCATCCAGATATTACCATGACAAATTCTCAGTTTATGTATCACAACACCCTACTTCATTATTCCATGCAAGCAGAGACAAATTCTACTTGTCTCAAAAAGTACTGACACTCTAAAAGCAAGTGAAATGTTCTGTCCATGCAGAGGTCCAGAGGGATCTAGATAGATTTAAGCATTGGGCTATGATGAATGAGATAAAATTAACAAGTTGAAATGCTGGATTCTGCACCTAGGATGGAGTAATCCTGAGCACAGGTATGAATTGGGAGAGGAGTGGCTGGAGACCTGCCTTGCAGAAAGGGATCTGGGGTGCAGGTTCACAGCAAGCTCAGTATGAGTCAGTGGTGTGCCCTGGCACCAAGAGGGCAAACCACATCCTGGAGTGCATCAAACAGCACAACCAGCCGGTCAAAAGGGATGATTATCCTGCTGTATTCAGCATTGGTGCAGCCTCATCTTGAGCATTATGTGCAGTTCTGGGCCCCACAGTTTAAGAAGGATGTGAAGGTCCTTGAATGCTTCCAGAGGAGGGCAACAAAGCTGGTGACAGGGCTGGAAGGATGTCCTGTGAAGAGCGGCTAAGGACTTTGGGCTTGTCTGGTTTGGAGAAAAGGAGGCTGAGGGGGCACCTCATTGCTCTCTACAGCTTCCTGAGGAGCGGATGTGGAGAGGGAGGTGCAAATCTCTTCTCCCAGGTATCCAAGGGTAGGACACATGAGAATGGCTCAAAGCTGTGCTAGGGGAGGTTTAGACTGGACATCAGGAAGCATTTCTTTACGGAGAGAGTGGTCAAACACTGGAACAGGCTTTCTGGAGAGGTGGTCAGTGCCCCAAGCCTGTCAGTGTTTGAGAGGCATTTGGGCAATGCCTTTAACAACATACTTTAACTTTTGGTCAGCCATGAATTGGTTGAGCATGATGGTCGTGGTAGGACGCTTCCAATGGAAATAGTCTATTCAGTTCTATTTTAAGTTCTTGCAGAAAAATAGTGTGTGGGTAAGAAAGTGAAAGAGGCATGTTAGTTTATCTAATGTTATTTAATAGATAGTATTTTATTTTAACACCACTAAACATCTGCTTGCCCAATTATGGCTGACAATTTTCCATAATATTACAACAGGGTCATATAATTAGGCTTTTTTGCTACCCTTATATACTGCATAAACAAAACTTTTGTAATACAGAAAAATTACAAATACTTTCTGAACTTAAGCACAGAAAAAATAAAACATAGCTATTTCAGGTTTGAGCAGGTTCATTACTGAAGATGGAAAAATGATGATAGAAAGACCTGTTTCTCACCAGAAAGTTACTTGAAATGTGGATGTGGGATTTAGGTGCCTCTGGAAATCCCTGTGGATCACTAATCTGTGTGCTAGGGACATGTGAAATTCTACAAACTAGAACTAGAACAGTGCAGTTTTTCTTAATAGTGAGGTTGTACATTAGCAGGACAAAGATGTACCTTTTTGTTACAACAAAAAAAGACAGCAGGTGCTATAAATGATTTGCAGGATTGAGACCAGTGTACTAACAAGGACAAGAACATTCAGTTGCTGGGAACTGCACGACTTTTAACATCTTGACCTTAACTAACACAATTTTTTATCTGTTAAATTATTCCCAGGTAAAAATGTCTGCAAATCAGTGAATCATGGCTGTGAGCATATCTGTGTTAGTTCTGACAATTCCTATGTCTGTAAATGTCGGGAGGGATTCGTATTGAGAGAAGATGGCAAGACATGCAGAAGTAAGTGATGGGTATCTACTGAACATTTTTATATGTGCATTAGGCAAGGAAAAAAAGGGTTTTTTCACTTCTTAGTGAAAAAAAACCCACACAAAACAAAACAAACCTTCCTTTTGATATCTATGTTTTTTAATGTGTTCATTCGAAACCTATATTTATATCAATCATTCCCAGGACAGGACATCTGCAAATCAGTCAGCCATGGCTGTGAGCATATTTGTGTTAACGAAGATGACTCGTATGTTTGCAAGTGTCATGAGGGTTTTCTGCTGAGAGAAGATGGGAAAACCTGCAGAAGTAAGTAATAATTACTCAAAGACTTCTATCTACGGAATGTAGATTTATGGAAGTGTTCTAACAAATACAACAACAGTTTGCTGTTCCAATATAGGAGTAGTATTGTTATACCTGCCAGAAGCTTGTCAGAAACCCTGTGGACAGAAATAGTGTATTTTAATAACCTAACTGATATGACTGAAGACAAAAAAGACTCACAGATTTTCAGGTACCAAGAGTTAGAAGTGTTTGCTGCCTAAATTTTTGCCGAATTCTCCCAGTGATATCAGTAGACCTAATAAAAGCCATTACTTCTCCCTGCATTATACATTCACTGTACATATGCTTTAACCAACTGTCATCAACTGTTCTCAGATAAAGACATTTGCAGTTCAGTTGATCATGACTGTGAACATGTTTGTGTTAATGCTGATGAATCATACATCTGCCAGTGTTTTGAGGGATTTGCACTAAGAGAAGATGGAAAAACATGCAGAAGTAAGTATCCTTATCTTCAACAGAAGATTTCCTTCATAATCTGTGCATTCGAAGACATGTTTTAAATACCAGCAACCTTGTTTTATTTCCAGATAAAGATGTTTGCAATTCTGTTGACCATGGCTGTGAGCATATTTGTGTGAATACTGATAGTTCATACATTTGCCAGTGCTATGAGGGTTTTGTATTGAGGGAAGACAAGAAAACTTGTAAAAGTAAGTAATTTTATGTTACTGTATTTTTTGCAGTCAGACGCCTACTGAAGAAACATATTGTGTTAGAAGTAGGTTTTCTTGTAGAGGATTTTGCCTGACAAAAGGAGGATAAATATTTATTTACTAGGAGCTTATTACTTCTAGTCTTTAAAGTTTCGGAATTGTTTTCATTCATCAAACTGTAGTAACTAAAATCTAAATTATTCCTAGATAAGGACATCTGCAAATCAGTCAGTCATGGCTGTGAACATCTTTGTGTTAATAATGACGATTCATACACTTGCCAATGCCATGATGGATTTGTACTAAGGCAAGATGGGAAGACATGCCGAAGTAAGTAGTTTATGAATAAAACAAGAAATTTCATTTTCCTTTTATTGGGAGATTATTTACTGATTCATAGTGGTCAGAACAGAATATTGTTCTCTACAGATCGTAAGACTTCTATGAATCAATTATTGTTAGAACTAAAGATACACTTCAGAAAATCAGTCAGTTTTAAGTTGAAGGTTTAAATGTAGCTTTTAAAATGTGAATGCAATTTCTAGATTGTGTATGCTGAATTTTAGACTTGAGCATAGGATGTTGCTGCATTTTACTGTGATGGGTTCTAATTGCCACCGTGTTGTTCTGTGTATATTAATGCAGATCCTGACTTAACCTGTTCCTTAACATAACCTCTTAGCATGTTTTTTGTAAGTGATAAGCAGACGAAATTCCTTCAGGCTCTTTTAATGTGTTCTAATCTCTTCATAAGTCTCTTATTGCTCTCCTGAAACCTCTGCTATTTATCAGCATCCTTGTGGGGGCACTACAGTGGTACAGAGTCTTCTAATAGGAGACACAGCAGGGTCCAGGGTAGAAGAACTATAACCCACCTAATTCTTATTTGAATCTAACTATCTTTTCTTTAATAGATTTTTTAAATCTCTCTTTTTTATGACCAAAGATAGCATTAGTCTGTGACCAAAATATTCTACTAGCACTTGTGTTCAGTTAGTTATCTACCAGGATCAGAAGCTGTTTAAATCAGTCACACATGTTGTCCCACATCCTGTAAGTACGGCCTTCATTCTTTGTTTCTAGATGTAAAAGCTTAGTTCTCGGTATTTTAAAGTATGTATGACTTGCTGTTATCCAGCTTCCAAAAAGGTTAATGTCTCCTTATATCAGCAGCTGCTCTATTTTTATTTTCTATTCTCTCAAAACTAGAGTAACCTACAAACTTTGTCGGTAATTATTTTGTGTTTTCTTTTGGGTTGTTCATAAAAATGTTTAGTAGAGGAGCAGGGCAAATTCTTAGAAAGAAAGCCACTTGATGTCCACCCATTTACAGTTTATTCTGAAGACCTTTCTAGCCAGGGTCAATCCATGTAGTGTTGATTCTCTGGTCTGTTTTCACAGATCAAAATAAATACCAAGACTGCTGCCTTACTAAATGCTCCATTGTGTGAACAGCACAAGCTTTATGAACCAGCCTAGTGATCAATTTAAAAAGATATTTATTTAGTTTTCCAGGACCTATTTTTCCATAATGCTAAGTTGGTTGATATTAATTCTCTTTGATTTTACCCTAAATCAAGTTACCTATTATTAATGTGTGTTATCACATTATCTATTCCACTATTGTAATGCAGATTGATGTCAAGCTGACAGGCTTACAATGAACTACTCATCCTTTCCACACACTGGAACAATGGTATTTTTTCAGTGTGTGCGCATACACTGGAAGTGGAGACTGCTCAGTGTTTCAGAGCTTCATCAGAGTTGTAGGAGTTACTGGAAAGTAACACTAAGCATCCAAAGTGTTCTTCTGCCAACTTTTTTACAACTCCTCATTGCAAATTATCTGGAGTGTGTTCAGTAGGTGTTGTTTGACCTATTTCTCAGCTGATGAAACTTCTTCGCTCCAACGATGCCATCAGTAATCTATTTCATAAATTTAGATCTGAATACACTAAATATTTTTAACATTTCTGCACTAAGATTGGCAATTCTACCATTTCTACCTATTAATTATCAATACATTGTTAGAATGCTTTTTGATCCTAATAGGCTTTAAATAACTTACTCATACTATCCTTTATTTTATTGGCCATGCATCCCCTTGTCCTTTATCTTACTATTTCAGTGTTTTCAAATTCCTAACATTTACATGTTCAGTAAATACTGTTAGTGTTCCTTTTTTCAATCAATATTCAAATCTTATAGCTGTTTTCAATTTCAGTTTCTAAATGAAGTTGATTTTTTTAAACTACTCTGGCATTTATTTTAGATTAAGGGACTACATTTTTGGGGGTATCTAGTAAAAAACCTTAAATAATGCAATCACTCACTTTTTTCTTTTTTTAGTATTCCCCCCCCCATCCCAAAATACTCTATCTCATATTTGCTTGCAGCTGTGTAAAATGAATCCTTTAAAAGTAAGAGCCATGTCTGCTGCTGGTTTGTGCAACAGACAACAAATGTGTCTTAGCTGCACACAGCTGTGAATAAGCAGATGCAAATTTTTACTTACATTATAATTTATTCTACATCTGCTATAATGGCATCTAGTTTAGATTGTCATGTCTTAGATGCAATGCTTGTTGAGTTAAAAGATTGTCCTCAAGTGGTTTTTGGACTTTTTGTATCGGCAGTATGAGACCAGGTAATTTGGCTCAGATTGAAGTTCTTGTGAAAATACAAGCTTTTCTTCCATACACATTAAAGCTAAGTATTTTGCTGAAAAGTCAGTCTGAAGCTGGCTGTCAGTACAGCTCTACTTTCTTTGCAAAGGTGGTCCTTCATTAGCAGTTGAGAATATTTTATTTTGTGTTGCAGGGAAAAAGAAACAGGGAATGCTGATACATGTGTCTACTTCCTTCTATGCTTTCTCCCCATCTACCCTTTTTGTAGAGGTTTTAACCAACTGGTCTTGACATTGCAGTCATACAAATCCTCCCATCAATTTTCAGCAATATCAGTTAAATTTTAATTATCCCCTTGAATGAGTAGTTCCTATTCTTCTGGGGTTTGTTTATGCAGTCTTGGCATTGATGTAAGCATGTTAAAGAATTACTTTGCTTCATGTGCTATGGTGTTTTGCTTAATTTTGTTTTTTGCAGCAAGAATTTGTGCGAAATGACTGTACTAAATTATTCCCTCCTTTCACTCTTTCTGCTCTTAATGTGAAGTCCTCCTCCTTAACCTAGTCAGATTAATCCTAAAATGATTTATTGTCAGTGGGAAGCCATCCAAACCATGCAATTCTTTCTGCTCAGGTGGTAAAGAACTCATGCTCCATGTAAGCTAAGCTTTTTCACATTTAACTAGCCAGAGATTTACTTTCAGTTTGCAGGCTTCCATCTTCCTTTGCTCATAGGATTACACCCCCAGTCTCTGTATTTATCAAAAAAGTTTAACTAACAAACCACATTAAATAGTATCTAACTCTTCCCAGGCAAGGATATTTGCAAATCAGTCAACCATGGCTGTGAACATGCTTGTGTTAATGCTGGTGATTCATTTGTTTGTGAGTGTCAGGAGGGATTCCTGCTAAGAGAAGATGGAAAAACGTGCAAAAGTAAGTAGTCTGATACTTATCAGCGTAGTTTTTATCTGCAGCTCATGCTTGTGTAGAAATGCATTAACCAGCAAGAGCTGTCATCTGTTTTCAGATAAAGATCTTTGTAAATCAGTCAACCATGGCTGTGAACATGTTTGTTTTAATACTGATGATTCGTATATCTGCAAATGCCATGATGGGTTCCTACTGAGAGAGGATGGGAAAACCTGCAGAAGTAAGTAGCATGAGAACTTAATTTGATGAGTTACACATATAATCAAAGTCTCTGCTGATGTATGTTGACTACTAACTCTTCTGTTTGCAGACAAGGATGTTTGCAATTCAGTCAACCATGGGTGTGAACAAGTCTGTGTGAATACTGAAGATTCCTACATCTGCAAGTGTCGTGAAGAATTCATACTAAAGGAAGATGGAAAGACATGTAGATGTGAGTAGCCTACGCTATAAAAGTATGGTTTTATTTGAGGCTTTAAAGTGATATGGCTGTGTTTGCGCATGTGTATGTTTGTGATTTCCAACTATTTGAGCTTGTTAATAAAAGGTATTATCATAGAATCAGAGAATCATAGAGTGGTTTGGGTTGGAAGGGACCTTAAGGATCATCCAGTCCAACCCCTCTGCCATGGCCAGGGACACCTCCCTCCAGACCAGGTTGCTCAAAGCCCCATCCGACCTGGCCTTGAACACTTCCAGGGAGCGGGCATTCACAGCTTCCCTGGGCAACCTGTTCAGTGTCCCACCCCACTTATAGTGAAGAAGTTCTTCCTAAGGTCTAATTATATCTCCCTAACAAACCTCACCTCACAAACTCCATCCACTCTTCTCAGATAAAGATGTTTGCAACTCAGTTGACCATGGCTGTGAACATATTTGTGTTAATACTGATGATTCCTATATCTGCAAGTGTCACGAGGACTTCATACTGAGGGACGATGGGAAAACTTGTAGGAGTAAGTTGTTTTAATCTGTTTTGTACTTCCTGAGCTGTTAATGAAACACACTGTGCAATGGTAGTGTGTTATTTGTGTCGCTAATATAGAATGAACTTCATGGAAGTGAGCTCCTTCATGAAAGATTATTGCCTTGATTTTTACATTTTGTGAAATTTATTTATCTAGCTAACTGTGCTAAATGTAATTTTCATTATTCCAAGGTAAAAATATCTGCAAAACAGTCAACCATGGTTGTGAACATGTCTGTGTTCCAAGTGGCAATTCATACATATGTCAGTGTCACAAGGGATTTATATTGAGGAGAGACAGGAAAACATGCAGGAGTGAGTAGCTGAAACTTTTATGGGGAATATGTTTTTTCAGTTATAAAAGAAATAACAGACTTAATTTCACTGAAAGCATGTTCATGCCAGTTTTGCATTTGAGAAATGGTCTAATAAGGAAATTCTCTTCACAATTCTTAGGTAAAGACCTGTGTAAATCCATAGACCATGGCTGTGAACATGTGTGCATTAATAACAACAATTCATACAGCTGTCAGTGCCATGAGGGTTTTGTCCTGCAACAAGATGGGAAAACATGTCGCAGTAAGTAACTCAGTTGTCTGTCAGCCGCTCTTCTCTGGCGTTGCTACATAGACCAATAAAGATGTTATACTCATTTGTTATACATACTTCAAATATCATGTTGGGAGTCTTTGAATTTATAAATATGTTAAATAGAATACATACACTAACTCAATTTTTTCCTAGATAAAGATGTCTGCAAATCAGTTGCCCATGGTTGTGAACATACTTGTATTAATAATGATGACTCATACATCTGCAAATGCCAGGAGGGATATGTACTAAAAGAGGATCAGAAAACATGCAGAAGTAAGTACATTTTATTTAGAAAGCCTTTGTTTCTTTGCTTTCTATAATTACTTGACCTCACTTCAAAAAATGCCTCACTTCAAAAATGATACAATATTTGAAAGCCCAAAGCATATGTGAGTGTGATGGAAAACATTTTGAACAATTAACTTGATGCTCTCCTAAGCAAAAATTGGAACAGTTGTTTTTGTATAGCATCAAGTACTATAATTCTTTCCAAACATCAGGAAAAAAAAGCCAAAGTGAAATCTTATTATCAAGGAATGTGCATTTAATCAGATTCATATACTGTGGGGCTTTTGTCTTTATATGCTCCATTTTAAAATATCATTAATTCTATTTGCTTACCTCCTAAGATGACATGCTTAGAGTATGACATGCACTTATGTCATCACCCCTTAATACTTGGAGGATAAATTCTTCTACTGAAAATCAGTAAAAACCTTTATTCTGCATAAATGGACACCTTAGTTGGGGAGACTATTACTACCAAAAGAATGGAAACATGTTCACGGCTGATCTCAATCCTAGCTAAAACCCATCCACCATGAACTGCTGCTGTATTATGCAGTGATATTGAGGTGGTTCTGATACTCATATTCATTGCATTTCCATCACCTTAGTACATGTGACACATCTTGTCCTCAGATGACTGCAGAAAAGAATTCTTGGGGAACAGTTTAGAAAGAGAGCTGTTGTCTAAGAAGAAAAGCCCAAGCTTTAAAGCTGAAAATTCCTTATTTCTTCACTGACTTGGTAACAGACATCTTCAGTAATTTCTGCAGTCAAAGTAATTCCAGCTGCACAAGTCTCTCATATATAGTGCTTACAGCATTCTTACTATACAAACAGCAGAGATGGTGGAGGTCAAAGTTCATTTGGTCCAGATTAGGATGCAAATCTTACATTCCTTAGAATGGCAAAGTTGCATTGATCAAACAGGGGCTGAGCATCTCTGCAGCCAGCTCCTTGCACAAAGCATGCTAGTCTATGCCTGCTGGAGGCGATTTCTTTTCAGAATTAAAAAAACAGCTGGCAGAACCAGTCTGAAGCTTCAAAGACATTCTCCGGTCCCCAGATTCCCTGACCTTGCCACAGATGCACAGTGCCTACAAACTGCTTTGATTTTTGCACGTGCACTTGTCATAAAGTATGAGAACTTCAAATTTGTCACATCTTCTAAGAAATTCCCAGCTTTAATGGGTAAACCAGAAAATATTAATTTCAGCAATACATAAGCCTTCTAATTACAAGATTGTTAGAGTTACAAGCAAAAAAACCAAACTTACATGAACTATTCTGATCCATGTTTAGCAGCTAGGCACATTTATAGCATTTACTCCCTCACCTATTGGTTTTTAGCTGTTTTTTCTGCCACTGAAGGTTTAAGTTTGTGCTATAAAAACCTCATCCTAAGCTCCAGGGCAGGCTACCTAACTCTTCTCTTCTCACTCAGCCTTCCCGAAATGCTTTGACTTTACCTCACTGTACCCTGCCACTCTAAATAGGACTCCTAGACTTTCACCTTCTATACACATGTGGCTCCACTGACTCATTTCTCTGTAGCAGCTTTACCTTTTTACTACTTCTACAACACAAATGCAGCTCCAGTGATTCTCTTCCATGTCTTTCAGTGCTGGTCACCTACACAAATGTAAAGTTAACATACTAGTCTATCCCTGGAGGAAAATGATGGCAATGCTGTCTCTATATCCTAGCTGTGTTCTTCAGTTATACAATTCTCTTCACTTAAGTAATTCTTAAAATTTGCTGATTATTGCTGTATTTTTAAGAGTTGCAGTATTCTGCAAAGCAGTATGTCTCAGTATGTATTCACTGTGATTGTATTTCTGTTAAATTCTTGGTCATAGGCACACTCTTAGATTTTGACTGTACACAACAACATCTTTACACAGACACTGACAAAGTTGGATGAGCCAGAAACAAGGTACTCTAAGTGATCTCTGATTTTCTGCAGTCCCTGGATATCTCGGTCCCTTTTTCAGCTTTGTGGAGTTTTTTCATGACTTGAACACTCTGCTGCTTATTTCACAGGATGCACTGAAGGCCCCCTTGACCTAGTGTTTGTGATTGATGGATCCAAAAGTCTCGGAGAGGATAATTTTGAAATTGTAAAACAATTTGTCTCAGGAGTCTTGGATACACTTGAGATTTCACCCAAAGCTGCTCGAGTTGGTTTGCTTCAGTATTCCACTGAAGTTCGCACAGAGTTTACATTAAAGCAGTTCAGCTCAGCCAAAGACATGAAGAAAGCTGTATCGCAAATGAAATACATGGGGCGGGGTTCCATGACGGGACTAGCTCTGAAGCAAATGTTTGAGAGAAGCTTCACAGAAACAGAAGGAGCAAGACCATTTTCAGCAAATGTCCCTCGAATTGCCATCGTGTTTACAGATGGACGAGCCCAAGATGAAGTCTCTGAGTGGGCTGCTAGAGCAAAGCGAAATGGTAAGTGGAAATGGTTTTTACTCATTCTAAAAGGCAAATATTGTTAGAAAGAGATGGTAATAGTATGGATGTGCTAATCAAGAGAGCGTTTGCCATAGCAGCCTGGCTAGTGCAATGACCACTGTAGCAGAACATCAGATCTTCGGTGTTCACAGAAGCCTCTGCTACAAGGCGCATATGCCCTCTCTAGTGCAGGACCCATGATGAGTGTCTCACCACTGGGGTACTGTGCCATCCACAGGTAGTAGGTACCCACCTGGCATGCCATGCAGTGCCCTGAACAGAGCCACTAAGGGTAGACATTTGATACACAGATTTGGAGACACGGGGAACTTAATCAGAACTTCTCCGAAAACAATGAAAAAAAACAAACCCTCCAACCTGTCTCTTTAAAAATACAGAAACCTATCCTCCTGAGAAATACTATGGTAACATGATTATGTTATACTTTTATTTACATATATTCTGTATTTTTAACTATTTTATACTTCTAATGGTGTTCTGGAAGGAAGATTGTTCCTCTTTACAGAAGGATATAGCTGTAGTGCTACCTATCTTTCTGTTTCTATGTGCCTTATGAGGTGATATGCTGAAATGTAACTGAAAACTGGTGATTTTTAAGTTAGAATATGTCTGGGCAGAAAGTCATCCTCTAGAACACCTGTACCACAAACTGGAAACTTTTAAACTGTTTAGCAGAGTCAACTGAAAATTTTCAAAACTTTTCAAGAAAATAAAGGATCCATTTTCCTTGCAAAATGTTTTCTATTTTATGTGAAACTGCTTTAAGAACCATGGCTGATGGCCCACAACACAGGGAAAATAGCCAGACTATGATTAGTATAGCACTGGTCAGGGCTGATGCCCCTCTGTAAGGTAAAAAAGAAAAAATGTCCAAGGATATGAGAAGAGTGTGTGCTAACAAGGGTGCCATTACAATGAAATACAAAGAAAGTGGTTTTTAAAATATTAAAAACAAAACCTAAGATTTATTCACTAACTAGTGAGATCTGGGAAAGTACATGGAGGATTTACAGGGCTGAAGGAGGAAAGAAGTACAAGCCAACCTTGCTTACTTGCTGAATGAAACCTCCGTTCTGGACTGCTTACACTGATATTTGTAATGCTACGAGCCAAATCCATCCCCTGTGTAATTGCAGTGTAGACAATGTAGTAATGCTGAATATGAAATTGGCCTTGAATGCTTTATCACTAATATCTCCAAGTCTTTAAAAAGCAACAGACCTCAGCATGACTGGTCCATTCATTAAATTGAATCAGCTTCTGGTGAATGTTTTATTTTCCTGGCTAAAGTGCAATGGTAGGCAGATTCATGACAAAAAGCAAGATGCTTACATTAAATGTTAAAGGTGTGCGAAGCGTCTATTTTATGATGCTGTCAGGCCCAACATTCTTCAGCAAAAACGTTCAAGTCACAATTCAGTGAGTGTGTAGCTGTTATTACCCCATGGTAAAATAAAGAGATACCAAACCTCCTCGTCCTAAGTTTTATCTGAAACAACCAGCTAAGAAGGCAGCTTCTGCTCTTGAATCTTATAGAAGAGCTTGAAATACTGCATAGCTAATATTTGTATTATGCATCACAAAATCGGTACTAGTTGTGGACCCTTTCTAAGGCAGAACTGATGTAAAGAGAAACGTTGCATCACATCATATGTTCACAAGAATAAAGAGATCAGTGATTAACTGCTGGAAAAGAGGTTATTGAAAATCACTATGTTTTGTATTCATTGCTTGTTTAAAATCCATCCAGTGAGAGGGCTGTGCACCACTTCCTCCTTCCTGGCTTTCAGAGTGAAGAAAACTACAAATCCTCATTAACTTTCTCCCTAGCACCTCTGTTGGGAAAATGCTTGTCCCGAGCATCCCTGTGTGGGTCCATTGAAGTTGCGTAAGGCTCTTCTGTCCCAGCTTGACAAATGGTTTCTTTTCCCCTGTTCTTACCCTCAGAGGCCTGGGTTGCCTTTGCAGTGCCTCTCAGTCCACTGGTGTCCCTTAGACGGCAGAACCTAGTCTCAGTGTGCCCTGAGGATTTTGATGAAACACTAAGTTTTGGGTTTTTTTTTTAATTACTGCCATGTTTCAGGATTCTGCCCCATTGGGTAATATGTAACATGGGTCTTCCCATCAAGCCAGTAATTAGCTTTTTTGCACACACCCTATGTACACAGACATACACAAAACCAGCAACTTTCAGTGCAGCTGTGAGGCTAACTTGTGTGATTCTTTTGGATGTTTGCAGTGCTTTTTCTGGGTTCATTTACTATCAGTGATGGCCAGGCAACTGTTAACAGTAACTTAAAAACTGTTAAATTACAGCAAAGCAGTATGCTTTACTCTCAATAAGTAAAGCATATTAAGCCTGTTCAAAACAAATTTTGATGTTACACAGCATATACGTATCTTGAGTTCTCCTTTTCTCTCTCTCTGAAATAACTAATGCTCATATTTTCCTTTCATGGAGAAACAAGGGCTTAGAACTGCAGATGTAATAATTATGTGTAATTTCTTTTGCATCTAGGTATAATTATCTATGCCATTGGAATAGGAAAAGCAATTGAGGAAGAACTGCTGGAAATTGCTTCTGAGCCATCATATAAACATCTGTTCTATGCTGAGGATTTTACAGCTATGGAGGACATAAGTGAAGAGCTGAGAGCCCAAATCTGTGAAGGTAACAGTAACCCACTTTCACTGAGACAGAAAAAGAATGAATGCTTACAGTTATTTTGCAGACCTAAAAGGACAATTAGTATCATAGTATAGGCCATAGATCATTGGTGTCAGACATTACAAGGCATAAGTCACAGTAATTTTTCTGTCATTTAGTATATGAGGAATATGTGCCCTTAACCTATCACCAGGTAAAGGTATATAATAATTGTCTTTATTTTCATAAAGGTTGCATAAAATGTACACTTCTGTGCTCAGAAGTTCTCCTTCCTCTTTTTTTTTTTCCTACAGTTAAGTCAGGCGTGCACTGAACCCCACTCCGCCAAAACACCATGATCTACTTAACTAGGAATGTGGGAAAATAATCAGAGATTTGTAATGTCTTAATGAGAATTTTAAAAGTTACTCTTAAGACTAGTGGCAAAAACCTAAACCACAGCAAAACAGATCAAGAGCTGTTGTGCATATTTATAGAAGACTAAAAATAGTTAATTGAACATACATTCACAGCCAGAAAGAGTGGACCTCACTGTGCATAAGCTCCAAGTTTTGCTCCACAAACGTGGAAGGTTTGTTCCAGAAAGCACCCTTCCTCACTCTGGCACAAACAGCCTCTCTATAAGTGTTCCCAGCTGAAGTTTTGCAAGGGGAAGGGGAAATGTGAGTTGGGGTGAAAGCAGTTCAGCCAGAGAGAGGACAGTGTGTCTCTCCCACTCACACATTCCCAGGACTTGGTATTATCTGTACATTCAATTAGTAATTGAAACAAAATTCAGAAATGTCACCATTGATAATATTAGTGATAGCACTAGCATTGTTCAAGGTGATTTCATTTTCACCAGCTTTCATCTGGTTGTTTTTCTTGGAATTAAATGCAAAGAGGTTTTATTTTCTTCTTTAACGTTACTGTGGAGAATTGGCTGGCAAGCAGCAGCGCATTTCTTCCTCATACAGATGTCAAGGAAGAATCTGAAAAAACGAATCTGAGAACGTTTTCTAGCTGGTTTATTCTTTGCGCTTCTCTCAGTCCTAAGAAGTCCTAGTTCCATCTTTCTGAAATGCAAAATACTATGACAACATGAAACCAAGTCTGTTCAAGTAACGTTCCTATTAGGCAGATAATCTGCTGATGACAGCATGTCATCCAAAAAGCTTGGGGAGACACCAAAGCCAAAATTATCTGGCAACTGGGATAATAATTCACACTCATTAGCAAACCCCAGAGCTCAGTGATGGAAATGCATCCTTCAGGTACCAGCAGTGTTTAGCAACCACGATTTTTTCTTTTTAAACTACATCATTTACCATATGAAAAATAAGCAAATCCTGCCCCTTTGTGGCACTTTCTAGACTACACCTCTAGTAACTGGGCAGAGCTGGTGCCTCTCGCCTTCTGTCGTCCTCCTCTCTCACCACCAGGCAATGCCTCACACCTGTGAACTGAGGACTGACCCAGCCTTGTTTTTCTGGACACTCCAGGATGACCTATTGCTCATCAACTCACTCCACCAGAAATTCTGCCTCCATGCCTGTTACACAAACTGAAAGTTCCTTCCCACCCCCATTTTGGTTTACAGCCTAGATTTTCTCCCTCCTTTGCAGCAGCAGTAATTTCATTTTTACTCCAGCCTTGGTCCTTAGCTGAGGACTTCTCAAGCTCCAGCTTGTGAGGGCAGTGGGAGACCCTTTGAACCCCATGGACTCCACTGACAAAGCCTCTCATCCCCAGTCACAGATGTGGATGGGCTGCATGTTTCCAAGCAGAAGCCCTCCAAAGCTCTTTTGGGGTAAGGCTTTTTTCCTTTTATTCTACAAGAAAGCATCAGCCTTGTAGAATAGGATAGCTGCTGGTTACTATTACATATTCTTAATGACTAGTAGTAAAAAAAAAAAAATATGGTTTTCTTCCCATTCATTGCCTTGGTTAATCTTCATTTCTCATCTGACTGGAAGCACTAATCAGGCTACAGCAATGTCATTACAATACGCGCTCATCATGATTGCCTCTTCACCCCTGTTCTGAGCATGTGCATTACAGGAGCCTTTAATTACACGGTCACATGCTATCCTTGTCACAAGACCCCAGCCCTGGTCAGATGACAGCGCTCAGCAGCCTGCTGGTTAACATTCTGTTCTTCCAAATTGCAGATCATTATCACTGCTGCAGCCAGCCACTGCTTTTGAAGACACGCTTCTCTGAAGACACTTTCTCACAGGTTTTTTCCTAACAAAATACTTAGGTTTTGTTATAAAACAGAACACTGAAAACAAACACCCAGCTTTAGTATTGTTCCTCAACAAATTTGAATATTTATGTGCACTGCACTGATTTCACTCAGGGTTAGCAGCCTGTCATTATTTGTCTGATTATGCAGTTTTACAGAGATGACGAGATCAGAAATTTTTGGGCCCCAACCAGTTTCTGAAGCCTGAAGAGGGCATCTGAAATGCCCAATTTCTGTCTCAAACTGCAGACCTGCCAAACCTTTAGCAGTGTTATCTATTAGCTGTCTTTCTTGTCCCTTCCATCTGAATCTTAATTACTTGTCTGTACCAGCCCAAAGCTCAAATTCTTCAGGTCAGTTCCTCTGCCCTTCCTATACAGCATCCTCATTAGACCACAGCCCTTCAATGACTCCTAGAGTAAGTCATTACCCAGAGTCAAACACTCAAGGTTCATGTGGTGGGATGACTCACATAACTGGAGTGCCACTATGAGTGGATATAGACTGTTCAGGAGGGATAGGAAAGGTAAGAGAGGCGGGTGTGTAGCTCTGTATGTTAGAGAATGTTTTGAAACCCTTGAGCTAGAGCTTGAGGGTGATGGTAGGACCGAGTGCTTGTGGGTGAAACTCAAGGGAATAGGTAGTAAGGCTGATGTTGTGGTGTGTCTGTTACAGACCACCTAGCCAAGAAGAAGAGACAGACGACTTATTTTATAAACAGCTAGAAAAGGGCTCAAGATTCCCGGG